CTCCTTAGTTTTTTAGGTTCCTTCTCTCCGTGATTATTTTCCGTCTGTGGCTCCACCAGATCGCCTGTTTTCCCCTGGGAAATGATAAATACAAAGCTAAGATGATGTTAGGGTAATGAAATGTCTGCAAGAAAACAACCAAGTTCAGAAAAGCACCAAGGATTTCTCACAAACCTGAGTTTGACACTTCCCCCCCCCCCCTTGAACGGACTCCTCATCCCGCCCCCGTTTGGGACCTCTTCTCCTTCAGCCAGTGGTTGCCTCCCCAATGGTGATTTTCGTGTCTTGCTTGATTTGTAGGGTGCAAGAACCTCCCGGGGTGACAGTGGCTTCCCCTCCGGTCCCCTCCGCCACTGCTCTGCCTGCCACGGGGGTAGTTCTGGCCCCTTCCGCAGCTCCTGCTTCACCTGCGGCCCCCTCCCAGCCATCCACCTCCAGCAGCAGCCTTTCAGACGTGGGAAACAGCAACTGGAGGAGCAGCGCTTTGGGAGGCACGCCGGGGTCAGCAGGGGAAGGAATGCCCAGCGGCGCCACCTCCATCCTGTGTAAGTAAGAGATCTCTTCACTGGCAGAGCTCTTAGAAAGCAGCTCGGGGGGGCAGACACTACTTCTTGCGGGGTCTGAGTTGCTAGTGTCTCAGAGGCCTACGGCAGGGTCATCCATCCAGAGGCGGCAAAAAAAATGATGAGGGACCGGCTTTCAAGTACCTATAGACAGGAGTGATGGATAGACGGCCAGATGTTCAGGAGTTGGTTTGCCTGCTTCTCCTTAAGCTCTATTCCAGACCAGATCTGGGTAGTCAGCCCCAAGCCTGCTGTCAGACCTGCCCCTGTCAGATCCCTTAGGAAAGAAAGACCCTCGACTCCATTTGGGTGAAGTGATGGGTTCTTTTACTAAAAGTTGATGTCTGCAGCAAAGTCAGGCTAGAGCGAAGATTCCCCCATTCCACTCTCGGGGGGGGGGGCTGGCCTTGAGTGCTGGCACAAACTGGTTCCGTGCCTCTCTGGTCTTTGTCAGCCTGTCATTCCCCCCTCCCTATTTCCCATCACATAAACCCCCTTGCTTGTTTATTGCCTATTTGTCCCCCCTTGCCCCCTCCCTCCTAGCCTTTGACGGCAGGATGCCGGCAAGGTGCCAAACTGAAGATGGCAGAGCTGACACCTGCTTCCTTCCTTGGAGGTCGTTGTCTGAGCTGCTGTTCCTTTCCTCCTTGCCCTTTCCCAGCCGGCTTTGGGGGCATTGCCGGGCTTGGCCACCTGGGGATGGGCTCGGCAAACTTCATGGAGCTCCAGCAACAGATGCAGCGGCAGCTGATGTCCAATCCGGAGATGCTGTCCCAGATCATGGAGAACCCCTTGGTCCAGAGCATGATGTCCAACCCAGACTTCATGAGGCGGACGATCACGGCCAACCCCCAGATGCAGCAGCTGATGGAACGGAACCCAGAGATCACCCACATGCTGAACAACCCCGAGCTGATGCGCCAGGTGGGCACCTTCTCCCTTCTCCTTGGGCTTGTGGGATTGGCTGCCTTTGCAGGTAAGACCAAGGCAGGTGTGAGGAGCACGGCCCGTAAGCGTCCCTCAGCTACAGCAGTTGGCGGTTCCCAACCAACACGGGAGCTTCTCTGCGCTGTTGATTGGTTTGTGGCTCGCGGGTGGTCACATGATCTCTGCTCCCTGCCTTCTCCTGACAGGGGAAGCATCTTTGGGGGGCTACCTGAAGCAGAGAGGAAGGAGGGGACATTTTCAGCAGGGCTTGCACAGCGAAAAGGAGCTTGTGCCGATCCGCCAGTCACACAATGCCTTGCTGGGGAGGAGAGGGGAGGGGCAGCAGGCCCTCAAGCTCACCCTTTGGCAGCCCGCAGGGTTGGAAGGCCCGTGCTGCAGACGCCCTGGCGATTCAGATCGGCCCTGATGCAAGGCTGCCCTCAGCAGTGGGGAATTTCACCCCCTAGGAAAGTCTGGGTGGTGCTGAGTCCCACCTCTGGGCTGGGAGCCCTTGAGAAGCTCGTTGGAAGCTCCTGAGAAGCAAGTGAGATTCGATTGGCTGGCTGAAGTGCCGTGTGATGTGGGGCAGACTGGGCGCTGGCTCAGAGTGGCTGTGATGGTTTTGTCTGTCTCTTGGATGACTCCTGCCAGGTGGACTTAGTCAGTCAGGCGGTTGGAGAAATAGATGGTGTGGAATGCTTTGCGTCTCGGGGCAGAGCTTTTGTGTGGAAGCCTTTCGCGGCCTCACCCTCCTGTGTCTGGGTGGGCGTCTGCGCTTTGGGGGATGTGATGAATGGATCAGGCTGGGTGGAGGAGGAGTTCTCCCCTGTGGGCTTCAGCCAGGTTGATTGTTCTTCTTTCTTGGTCCATCTTCCCTGCTTCCTCCACATTCTCCTCCCTCAGTGGGGAAAACGTTGGGCTAGCGCTGGGCTGGGCAGTCCAAGGTTCAGGTCCTCCTGCAGACCAGCTAAGGGGTGAATGAATCGTGGTTTAAGATCCTGACCAGCCATCTTTCTGTCCAGCCTCTTTCCAGAAGCAGAGCAACAGGTGCAATTGCTTTTCCAAACAGGATTTTGTACCTATCCTGTCTGCTTGGACCCTAATTTCTGAGTTTGGCTCTGCCTTGCTTGCTCGTTTTTCAGTTGCTCTGCCCCCAACTCCAGACCAATGATGGTGAATCCTTGCTTTTTCCAGACTCTTAGGAAAGAAGTGAAGGCTGTATTTAATTAATTAATGTAATATTTATGCCACCCACCTCCCCCCACAAGGTGACTCTACTTCGGCAGTGTTGGCTGTCCGTTGTGCCTCACGCCACAAAAAAGGCAACGCCAAGCAAGGTGGCTGCCTCCTGGTTGGCTCAGATCCTCTGTCTCTCTCCTCAGACCATGGAGTTGGCACGCAACCCGGCCATGATGCAAGAAATGATGCGCAACCAGGACCGAGCCCTGAGCAACTTGGAGAGTGTTCCCGGAGGGTACAGTGCCTTGCGGCGCATGTACACGGATATCCAGGAACCGATGTTCAGCGCTGCCAGGGAACAGGTGGGCATGGCTGTGCTTTGCGGAGTGCTGTTTTCAACTGCTAATTAGAACAGCAGCGTCTTAATCATGACCAGCAGGGACTCACGGCTTGGGCGTCTTTTAAAGTTGCACACAGTTGTTCCTTGGGGAGGATCATATATTTGTGTATCCTTAAGAACTCAGGTGAGTGGGAATCTTGGGCCTGTTGGCTCAAATATGGGTTGTAATGAAGGCCCAGTTTGTTGTAGCCTGGAATGGCCTTCAGAATTGCAAATGCACGAGTAGCCGACCTTAGCTGCCTTCCTCGGTGGTGGCTCTCGTGATCCAGGAGAGGGCCAAGGTGAGTTTTACCTGATGTTAGTTGATCTGCAAACCTGCTCAGGAAATGGATTCTGCTTCTGCTTTACAGGATCCGATTGCAAACAGATTAGCCAGATCCCACAGATTTGTAGATTTCTCTAAAGAGAAAACTTTCTGATCGATCCTTGACCTGCTGCTCTCCCATCAGACCTGCGAGCAGGCAGCCCTAAGAGAGGAGGCACGAGTCCTCTGCCATTGTCTTCTCTTTCTAGTTTGGCAACAATCCCTTCTCTGCGCTCACTGGGAGTTCGGACACCCCAAACTCCGAGCCTCTGCGGACGGAGAACCGAGAGCCGTTGCCCAACCCTTGGAATCCCGTTCCCGCTTCTCAGGGCCAGGAGCCGGAGAACGAAGGAA